ACATTTAAAACACCCACCTTTTATTGCTTCTTTTAACAAACATCTTAAAGTTCCTGATTATACTTCTTGCAACACTGGCATAGTAGCAATAGCATAAACATGGAGTGCAGTATGTTTTCATTGTCAGCCGATGTTTCTGCTGTGTAGCTGTATGTGTTCAAGTTCTGTGAGAAACACAATGTTACAGCCAAAGGCAGAGGTGGTGTGAGTGTGAAGTGCAATGACCCAGTGGGCAATGTGGCAAAGTTTAGTGTGAACACGGTGAGAAGCACCAAATAGGAGTGGCTGTGACATCTGTGTAGATGCCAGTGTTTTGTGTCATTATGTCACAAAACTTACATAGCTAAAAGTAAATGTCTTTAGGAAAAGTGAACACGATGCGTTATACTGAGTGAGGCACAGGTACAGACACCTGTGCAGTCAAGATATGACTGAGAAAAAAAATTGTATCTTGTCCCTTTCAACATGTAGACATAGCTTTTGAATCTCTTATATTGACAGTAATTAAAAAACAAACGTGGCTGTATCTTTACAATTGGGTTGAACTGAAAGTGCAATAGCTTTCTTACTCCACTAGATGGGCAGAAAGTATTTTATTTTGATCAGCCGGCTGATAACACAGGAGAAATTACTATTGTATCTGAGTGAAGTTATTGAATTGTTATTGGAAAAAAAAAGCTAGCTTTACTTCAGGTTACGAACAGGCATATTTTTCTAACCAAGGGCTGTAGTATAATCAGCAGATGTGTGTGAAGTCATTTTTGTAGCCCTACACTGGGTAAGAATAAAGTTACACCTTTGTAGGCCTCTCTCTTTTCAGTGTTGCACTTTGTGGACGGTCCCTGCGCACTCGTCTCACACACCACTGTCAGCACACTGACCGACACCCATCGCCTCCTCCGTGTCCTGGAGCAAATGTGACATTTGTACGTAACGTGAACTATAGATCGCCCCTCCCTTCCAGTAGGTCAGACACATCGTAATGATCCCAAAAATCCTGGTAGGGACATGTCCCTACCGTCTATATGCAAAACTCTTGCCTACCGATACAAGCAAAGAAAAGAGCTATTCGGGAAAATCTTTTCCTGATTTATACAGAGCAGGGTTTAAAGGTCATAGGTCAATTCATAGGATTGTGAAGTAGGGATTCAAATGCTGTCTGTAACGGATGAGGGGGATTGAAGGGGTTAGTAATGCTACGTGCCCATATGGACAACGCACAATAATCTCTGGAGCATGTCTCTTTTATCTTATGGTGGTGGTTTTAAATGAACATCCGCAAGATGAGGCAGTTCAGTCTGCCTTACTCACCTCACAACCCCTTTTAATAATAATAATAATAATAAGAAGAAGAAGAATTCAGTTGCTTTTGATTTCGCCCAATGTATCCTGGAAAAATTATGTTGAGGAAAATAAAACACGCAGAATTACTTCCCGAAGTGGTGGGGTGAAGAGACGAAAGTGAGCACAGAGCCTAATTTTACTTTTCATCACATAATCAGCATTAAGACCTGCCAGTCAACTTGGATATTGCCGCAGTTAGGGTATACCCTAACTGTACTACACTATTTATTGTTATTTTCCAATTGTATTGTTGAAATCCCTGGGACATTCTTCTGCCTTGCACTCAGCTCTAAAATAAAATATTCCCGAAGGATATTGAAGGCAGCATTGGATTCTGGGCTGGACAGGAAATGTCGGAGACGCGCAGCGTGTCTCCTCAGCAGCTCCGGGAGAAGAATGGGAGAGGGGATAGATGTGTGTATGTAGATGAGGCAACGTGTGAAAACATGAGGGCAGTGGACAGTTCTTAACTAAATTCATCTTTAAAAAAAAAAAAAAAAGATAATTCCTCATATCATACTAGAGGCTTTTCTCTCTCCCCCCCTCCCCCGAGGACAGGGATATTTGCTCCCTTTGGAGAACACAGGACAGCAGAGGACTCTCTTTGTGAATCCCATTTGACTGTAAGTGGGGTTTTCTGTTATTATTCCTGCATGATTTAACTGTCCAACTCTTTTTTATCTTCCTTAAATAAACACTGAACTAAGAATGTCAGTCATAGTTGAATGTCAGTTTATGCCATACACTGTTAACAGCCCATCCTAGATATAACTATTAGTCCTCGGGAACGGATGAGCTGTACTACCTATGTACCACAGAATACTTCACTAATAGGGCATCGCTGAATGTGTTGTTGCCTGTAAGGCACAGTGTTTGGTGTGGCAGGTTGTTTGAATGGGGGTTTGTGTGCTCCCTATGCGGCCATTGAACAAGCCTTTCTTGGGAGGGAAAGGCTGTGCAGCGTTTGGGCCGACTGGGAAAAAAAGCCGCAGCTTTCATGGGAGTGCCATTTAAACGTGAGCATGTTCTTCCAACACATTTGTTAGTTATGTTTCCAGAGCCAGTCCCCGTGTCTGTCTTGGCCGGCCGGACGTATTTTCAACCTCATTTCCCTTCTCTGTATCTAACGGAACAGGGACAGACGTACAGTCTCCACCCTGTGAAGCGGGAGCAGGCTATCAGCTCCTGGTAGCCTAATGGCCGATGGCTTTGTCGCACTAATGTTTATATTTTGCTGCTGGGTTTATAGAGTATTTACTTGTACACACAAAGCCTGACGCGTGTTGCTGTGGCTGGGTTCAGCTTCTTATAGATACATATGTACTTGATTCACTGCAGCTCAGGAGCAGTCTTTTAATTCCCTTTGTTGAATGACGCGGCTCTGCGGATTGGAAAACATGTAGCCAGTTTGACCAGTGGCTATTCCCAGTTTAATGCTAGCACCCGCTTTAGCTACTAGAAACAACGTTATTCATGTAAATAAAGTCTGTTAGAAAAGTTGAAGCTCAAACACACTTTGTCTTTACATTTCTGCTTTTCTGGTAGAAATAATAGTAACCGAGTTTCCCAAAACACCAAATGATTGTACATGACCTGAACAAGCCTGTTCACACAGGTCAAAGCTGTTTCCCTCTCTAGCCTCAGACTTTGCTTCCATTCAGACATTCACACTGGAAATATAATGACCTTTCATTGACTGTCGGGTTCAAAGGTCATTTGCAGAGAGGCTGCATATGCCACTGTCTGGCTGGCCCCCACCTGGACCCAGATTTTCACCCAGTAAACATGCCACCAAGGCCAGGTGATGGCAGCTTTGCATTGTGTTTTTTTTTTTTTTTGTTTTAGGTGTATGCTTCAGTTTAGAGATTAAGACAACAAAACAAACAAAATGCTCAGACAAGGCCACTCAGAAGCCACTTAGCCCCAGCCTTTATTCCCCACAGTGGCATTATAATAGACCGTCTGTGTCCTTAAGGCAAACTTGATTTGCATCCACAAAGAAGTGTATTAGAAGCACATGGAGATGGTGCAGCAGCATTATGAGCCATTCGCTTACAGTGCACTTAATGGGTTGAAAATAACTATTGGCCTTCTGGTTGTCTTCCAGATGCCTTTCTGCTGTGTGTTATGCTGTTTTTACGAATATTTTGGAGTTAGGGTACACTTGCTGTCATGTCAGACACAGAAGAAGAACATAAAGCACATCTGGAAAACCCAGCAACCCGTTGTTGTTCCTCCAGGCATTGTTATACTGTGACACTGCTTCCTGTGCTGTGTCCCGTTACACAGAGGGTTTCCTAAGAACTTAATTATCAGCTGGTCATGTAAAACAGAGGGTTTGAAAAAATTAGCTGTTTCTGAAGGCAAATTTTTGGCCTTATTATAATTTGGTCTTATTTTAGGTAAGGACTGTTGTTCATGGTACTTGTAGCAGTATTACATCATTTTAATTCAAAAACTTAATCATACAACACATTTACTCAGTAGGCTTAGTTATCCTGAAGCTGCTGCATTCGGTTCAGTCATAAAAAGCTCAGTCATAGATGAAATTTCCAGCCACAGAGGTTAGACAGACGTTAGACGGGAGCATCATTCATCCACTGACTCTTGTTTTGCCAAATGAGGAAAGGTAGAGAAGCCTTTCTGTTTTCCTCTTTCTATCTTTTATGTATGCTGCGTTTTCTTGGGATGCAGTTGATGAGATGAGAAGAACAGCTGTTAAAAACATTTTGGGCTTGAGGACTGGTCCCTAGAAACCAAGTATGAAAAGCTATTCTTGATTTGTGTGTGTTACCATCTCCTGAATGCTCGTCTGTCCGTTTGTCAGCACTTTACTGGCTCTGCCATGCGTGTTGCAAGGGCCACATCTGACCTCCGCCCATCCATCCACCCACGTCCCTGGGCACAAGACTTCTCCTGCACAAAAGTTCCAAAGATGAGGCTGAGGTGGTGAAGGTTGCTGGTGTACGTTTACCCAGGTTGTGTTACAGCCAGAGGTCTAGGTGGGTAAAAGGAGGGCAGGGGGAGGATGGCACTTCAAACGCAGCCTTCAACACACCCCGATGCTGAGCTGGAGGCGACGGTGTAACTTGATATTTTCACACTGACAGGAGGTTCAGTTGGCTTGTATTGTTGAGTGGAGAACAAACTGAAAAAAGGCCACCAGCTGCAGAAGGGCTTGTCTCCTTGATGCCAGGCAAGATGCCACATTTTGGGTGTGTTGTGAGTCAGAATGTGAGAGAAAGTGGCTGTGTGCCGTTCCATCTGGGTGTGTCTCTCCTCTAGTCACAGACACGTGGTTCCTGCCTTTATGGTGCCTTGTTCTGGTAACATTTTGCTGACCTTTGGTGGCAGCTGCCTGTACCATTTTGAAATAAAGACAAATGGTCAACCAGCCTGCCTGTAGCCTTCAAACCCTCTGCTGTTCCAGATACTGAGTTTCTCTTCCTGTTGGTCTTTTATTACAGATTTGTATCAGCGACCTCTATGGTACAGCCTTTTCTTTTGTGATGATTGATTTCTGTTCTTCATCGAAAACACTTCTAATTCTCTATGCCTCTTTTTCAGTAATAAACATACACCCATGCAACAACACATTTGTGTAACGGTGTGTCGAATCATCCGCCAGCACTAAACCAATGCATGGACAACTGAGCCAGTATTCTCCGGCTGCACCGCTGATCGGAGCAGGCAGAAAGAGCACACCCTCCTCTCCTTTCAGGGTAATGCATGGTCTGGGTGTACTCAAGCACATAGGGAACACAAATCGCTATATAAAACCATTTAAAGGTACAAATGGCAAGGACTGACCTACAATTGAATCTCCTTGTCATGTTGCCATATCTCTGCCCCTGGGTGAATGTTTTCTCCTGCAGCACTTTGTGGTATCATGAGTGTATAAATCTTTAAAATGGTTCAGTCCTGGTGGGATTTACACTTTTAAAGGCAAAGACCACTTTTAGATACTTTTACATTGCTCGAAATGATTGATTCATGGTTTTCTCTATGTTCCAGGAATTATTTCTTATTTTCCCAGATTTCTTTTCAACAACTATTAGAAAATGGGTTTGCACTTGTTGCATCCAGCTATGAAGGTGGAGAGAGTGAGGGCGAGTTCTCGAGTGGAGAGGAAGTGATAGCTGCTCCCTTTAGTCATTATACAAGCTCAATGTGGCTGCATTGCATTCTGGAATCCTGTCAACTGTATAAAAGTATAAGACACCAAAACTGAACATTATTAGTTTGTTTTCAAGGCTGGCTTTTTCCTTTACACATCATTAGTAAGTCCTTCGCCACCTATTAAACTATATAACCACCTCGGTCTGTCATTCTTTATCTCCACACCACTTCTTCCATTTGTTTTATCTGATCTGCTGTGGTAGATGTGCAGACTCTTGTATTATTCACTCATTAATTGTCCCTTTTGTTCACTGTACAGTTTGTTTAAGCAGCTTAGGCAGCTGTTAATCAGTGTGACTTTGACAGTGCCAGGTGGCTGGTTCTCACTGCTCTGCTGCTGGTGAGGACCTCCCACCCCCTCTACTGTTTTACAGGTGATTTGTTTCATTTACTATAAGCCCTCTAAATATTAAGTCTTCTGCAAAGCTTAATTGTTGCAGTCGGCATGATTGTGACTGCCACAAAACCTCAAGATTTTTATCCTGAAGTTACACACAGTCGGGTAATCACGCTGAAACTATAGCACTCAAGGTTGGAAAGGGGGATCTGGTCCCAGTGGGAATTCTCAGCTAGAATTCCAGCGGTCGCATCAGATATCAGTGAGGGGAACGCAGAGGGTGGAGCGAAGGAGATGATTTGTGGTATCACGTTTCTGTCTCTACCCCACCAGCCTATGTAATCCACGGCAAAGTCAAGTAGAAGTTCCACTGCAACAGTCACAGGACGGGTTGATGGATGGGACAGCCTGTCTGTGTGGATGAACAGCCTTTAGAGCTGTGGGTAGTGTGTCTTTGATGTGGAATAAGCATAAGACGCTTTAGGCGAGCAGAGAGAGTATTAAGATCACACAAAGTGCTACATCAGAGGAAACCGCATGTGCCGTCTGGTTTGCTGTATAGAAAATATGCCTTACTGACTGGTAGTGATGTATGATCTGTCTGGTGTGTGAATTACATATAAAAGAAGAGTGAGAATTTATTTCCTACTCTCTGGATTGCTTTCACATCTCTATTTTGCATCATCAACTAAATTAAATTGCCAGTCCTTTGCAGCACTCTATGGCAGCGCCACGACCCTGCACCCTCTCTACTTCCTGTCTGATCAGAGTTCAAATGTTTCTCATGAAACCATCACAGCAGTTTGTGTGTCTGTGTGTGGATTGATGTTGGTGTTTGTTTGCCTTATTGCGGACTCTGCTAACACTTAGCAAGACACACACACACACAGATGCAAACTAAACAAACTGTACCGTTTCCCCTCATCCCGCTGGGAAATGTTCGCCTCTTGTCCCAGAATGTTTAGATGACTTCTGTTTATATGGGTTTGTGCTTGTACAGTTGCTTTCTAACCGCTGACCTCCGGGTTACATTCAGGCCAAATCCACTGAGTGCTCAGTTTTGTATACCACATAGAATACACTAACAATAGTGGCATTAGAGGACTA